GATTGTAACCATGGCAATGAGACAATATACGATAGAATGAATGCAAAACTAATGTTCTCCCATGTAAACTATCACATAATTCACAATAAAACATTAAAGAAAAAAAAAAAAAAAACCGAATAGTGGTAAATGCTGTTGACTGGTGGTACATGGAGGGATTATAATCATTGTTAACGAAACCAAGTATATGATTTGCTGAATGTAAAACTGATGATCTGCTCTGTAAACCTTCATTCAATTCACAAAAAAAAGTTTAAAGAAAAAAAAAAAAAAATGAAGAAAGCCTAATATTTATGTGGGATGCTATCAAGAGGAGTAACTTACATGTGATAGGAATTGCAGAACAGGAAAAGTCAAAATAAATAAATAACCACAGAGAATATTGTCCAAGAGTTGTTAGAAGAAAATTTCCCTAATATCATCATGGAAGATGAGAAGACAGCCATTCAAGAAGTTACGCGAATTCCAAAAAGGAATGTGGTATGCAGATAGACACCAAAAGAAAAACACCAAAACATATTATAATCAAAATTTTTAAAATCAAAGACAAGGAAAGAATCCTGAGAACAGCTCCAGAAAAATGAAGTTAACTACAAAGGAGAACTAATATGACTAAGCTCTGATTTCATACCCGAAACCATACAGGCAAGAAGACAACGGAATGACATAATTAGAGACCACCTCAAGAACAGAATTGACACACTGAATATTTATGACATATATTTAAAAAGAATCAAACTGTCAACCAAGAATCACGTACCCAACAAAACTGTCCATCAAATATGATGGTAAAATCAGGTCATTTTCAGACAAACAGAAATTAAAATGATTTGTAAAAACAAGATCAGCCTTACAAAAAATACTAAAAAGAGTTCTGTGGACAGAGAACCAATAGCCTGAGAGTAACATACATGGCAATATCACTTAGACTCAACTCAGACACAGTAAATTAGACCTATAAGACTGAAAATAGAGAACCAGACATACAGTTGCAACAAAACACAAACAAAAAAAGCACAAAAAGGGAACAATCTAGTTAAAGAATTTTCAAATGAAGAGAAAATTAAACAGATTTCGACAAAAAAAATAAAAACATACCCAACTGTAACCCTAGAAACTAGACCACGCCTTGCACCCTAACCGAACCCTTACCCCTAACACGACCCCTAGGTTCTAACCATAACCCTAACAACCAACAAAGTACTAGGACTAGCCAAGACCTAGCCACAGTCCCACCCTAACCCTCACTCCTTACACCTACCCACTTATCCCCCAACAAAAATTTAAAATAAAAATAGTAAGGCTCCAGGAAATGACGAATACCAACTGAAATGTTTCAAAAGACTGATGCAGAGCTGGAAGTACTCCTAGTCTATGCCAAGGAATTTGAAAAACAATCACAATGTCAACCAACTGGAAAAACATCCATATTTATGTCCATTCCAAACAAAGCTGATCTAGTAGAATATAGAAAATTTCAAACAACATCACTAATATCATACACAAATTTTGCTGAAGATAATTCAAAAACAGTTGCAGCAGTACACTGACAGGGAAATGCCAGAAATTCAAGTTGGATTCAAAATAGAATGTGGAATGTGGAATATTACTGTTGATGTCAGATGGATCTTGGCAAAAAGCACAGAATACCATAAAGATGGTTACCTGTGTTTCATTGACTATACAAAGGCATTTGACTGTGTGGATCATAACAAATTACGGATAACATTGCAAAAATTAAGAATTCCAGAACATTTCATTGGGTTCATGCAGAACCTATACAGACAAAGAGACAACTGTTTGAGCAGAACAAGGAGCAAGGCTTAAAATCAAGAAAGGTGTGCATCAGTGTTGTATCCTTTCACCATAGTTATTTTGTAAATAATCAAGAAACTGGACTATGTAGTATGAAGATTAAAGGAAGACTCATTAACAACTGTGATATGCAGATAACACACCTGACTTGCTGAAAGAGAAGACTTAAACACTTCCTGATAAAGATTAAAGACTATAGTATAGATTATACTTCAACACAGTCGTATGAAAATACTTAGCAACATCATGACAACCTGAGAAGGAAGTTATACAGAATTTCATTTTAGTGGGATCTAAAATCAACAACCATGGAACCAGCAATGAAATCAAATGATGCATTCTACTGGGCAAATCAGTTGCAAAAGACATCTTTAAAGTAGCAAGCAGCTAAGATGTCAACTTGAGGACTAAGGTGTGTCTGACCAAGCCATGGTATTTTCATTTATGTATGTAAAAGCTAGACAACGAATAAGGAAGAATGAAGAAGAACTGATGCACCTGAACTATGGTATTGGTGAAGAATATAAAAATATATCATCAACTGCCAGAATCATGAACAAATCGGTCTTCGAAGAAGTACAGCCAGAATACTCCTTCAAAGTAAGGATGGCAAGAGATCAATTCCTGAAGGAGGCTATTACGCTTGGTAAAGTAGAAGAATTCACTAAAAAGAGGAATACCCTCAACAGAATGAACTGACACAGTGGCTGCCAACAAGAGGCTCCAACACAGCAATGGTTATGAGGATGGTGCAGTACCAGGCAGTATTCATTTCTTTGTACACAGGGTTGTAAAGAGTCAGAACAGACTCAATGGCACCTAGGAATGGTTCCTACATTATGTCATTTAAACATTCATTAGCATTTTTCATCAGATACTATGCTTTGATTCACTACCTTAAGTTCTCAAATAAATTAGTGACATTTTAAAAACTACAATTTCTAGTGTTCTTATCTAATGAGCTTGTATATCTTCGGACTCATGACATTTCCTTCAAAGCTCTGTATGCATTAAAGATTTGTGATTTACTTACTTTCAGCTCAGGATATTCATTGTAACAGGTATGATACTTCAAATGCCATTCTATGGTAAACTTCATAGGCCCGGAACAACTGAATGACTTCACTGTTTAGAAAAAGAAAATCTCATTTTACATTAATAATATGTAAATTCTAGTATGACCTAAGGAACTCTAGCAGCATAGTGGTTACGAGTCAGGCTGCTAATCTCAGGTCAGCTGTTCGAAACTACCAGCAGTTCCACGGTAGAAAGGTGAGGTGTTCTGCTCTCGTAGAGATTTACAGCCTCGGAAACCCTGTGCAGGGTCACTATGAGTCTGAACCGACTCCATGGTACTTAGCAACAACAACAATATGACCTTAATATTTCAATTATACAATTTAAAGTAGGAACTTTAATGTAACAATAAGATATTAATTGCTCCAAAAATTTTCTGCAAAATGAGACAGACACACTCATTAAGTTATTATAGCTAACCAAAAGTTGTTATGACACTACCCATTTCATTTATGTGTTAAGGTTAATGTTAAAATCAACTAAGGAGTAGCTTATTATAATTATTTACTCTAAGGTTGTTCTCTTAGGACAGGAAGGGATTTAACAAGCAAACAAGAGCATTCTCTGTCCTTGAAATAAGCGGTGGGAGCGGGGTGGACTGACAAGAAAACAGGTCTTTTCAGTAGACTAAGGGCCATGATAGGAGCTGAGAACAGGGAGTGCTGGGCAGGATACCAACCTCAGTGTAGGAAAGCACACAAGACAGAGCACAGCAGCCCCGGAATATGACACCCCACTGCCAACTTATAGACGATTCCTACTTGCCCTTTAGTCTTACATAAATTTGTCCTCACTTTGAAATGACTGAACGCATTTGCATCACATTCTTCATCACAGTCACCTTCATTTATTGCTTGTGCCACTTTTGAATCACTGGAATTTCCAAAAAGATTGGAATGGTGACTTCGGTGGAAGTGACCAGGCCAAAAAGAGCACCCCCAATCATGACTACACGAAGGCTGAGTACATGCTCTGGACAGGAAGCGCCATCAGCTCCTGGCTGGTTAAAGACACAGCTGCCTGTGGAAGGGCAGCATGTCTCAAAGGGATGTGGAAAGTCCAGGCTGGGGACCCTCTCAGACCTGGCCATGCATGTCGCTTCATGTGCATCTTTTTTGCTATAATAATAATAATAATTGATAAAATTTTCCAGGAATTCTTGAGTTGCTCTAGTGAATTTTCAAACCCAAGTAGTAGAATCCAGCAAGTCAGAAATGGGAGGAGAGCAGCTGGGAATCCCCTGAGCTTGCATTACAGCTGGTATTCTGAAAGGGATGCAGGGAACCCCCAAATTTGGAGGTGGATCAGAAGTGAAATCTCTAAGCTTGCAGCTGATGTTTGAGGTCTCGGGTGGACTTGGTAGTCTGGAGACCTGTGCCCATTCATTGGTGAGGTCTGCCCTCCCTCTGAGTGGGTAGGGTCAGAGGGAGAAGTGCTGCATGTGTAGCAGGGTCAGAATAGAAAGGGAACAAAGAGAACTGATCATAGATCTTTACAGTTTAGGATTAGAAAAGCAAGAATTATTTTGATTTTCCATACAATGCCTAAAAACTCACAAAGAAAACCTTCACAGTTTTTTGGAATTCACTCATGTAGTCCATTAATCTTGCAAGGAAGAAACAGCACCCGAACTACACAAACTATCTCACAAAATAGAATAGGAAATATTTCCAATCCCTTTTTATGATGCTAGAATTACCTGACAGAACAACCAGATCAAGATACTACAAGAAAACAAGAGTAACATTCCTCATAGATAGAGACACAAAAATGCCTAGGAATTAGTAAAGAATAAATTCAGCAATTTGCAAAGAGAATACTACACCATCATTGTTACTATTGTTAAGTGCCATCGAGTTGGGTCTAACTCGTAGTGACTCTATGTACAACAGGGTGAAATGAAGCCCAGTCCTGTACCACTCTCACAATTACCAAGTGGCAGGAAACAGTAAAAATGAGGAAAATGAGCTGAACATAAGATTCCAAAGAGCAGCTCAGGAAGACAAGGTAAAGTATTAAGATGAAATGTGCAGAGATTGACTTGGAGTTAGAAAACCAAAAGGGTGGTTTTCTAGCACCTGAAAGAACTGATTCAAGGCTTGAATTGAAATACAGGACTCTAAGGGTAAAAATTTTGATTAACATTGGAAGCATCAAAAATCGATGGAGGGAATAAAGTCAATGAACCAAAAAGAACACGCTTCACCCATTTCCAAAAGTAGCATATAAACAAGAGCCACTGGCATTGAAGGAAGAAGTTCAAGGTGCTCTGAAGTCAGTGACAGAAAATACGGTTCTGCCAGTTAATGAATACTAACTGATATGTTAAGATACTTTCTTGATTCTAGTCTACCATTAGGTTGATCTCACGCATTATGTACTAACTTTTAAAATCAAATTCTGTTTGTGGCCCACACTCCTTTTTTTTCCTGCATGACTTTTTTTTGGCCTGAGGTTTTCTTAAAATTCAATTTGTCTAGACTTTGAGATAGTGATTCAGTAGTCAATCTCATCTACCTTGGACTTCAATTTCCTCTTACCAAGAACTTATCACCACTGATGATCTGAACCACCCCTGCTTTCTAGGTGATGGCTGGCCTGCTTCCCTTAGCAAAGACCCACATGTTGTGGATAGCCTCAGAGATGACCAGAACACAGTGTGCTCCACAGAGCACACAATTTTGGATCCTGGGGAAGTCTATTTGAGCTATCCAGACAAAACTTGCTCTTTATCTTGAATTACACCCTGGCAACCTCCTCTGCAGGTCAAGTTAACTAGAAAGAAACTATAATGAACAATGACTATGACCTACTGTACTAAAAAACTCAAGGCTACTGAGTCAAACCTGACTCACAGTGGCCTGCCAGGACACAAGAGAACTGCCCCATAGGTTTTCAAACTTGTAATCTTTACGGAGACAGAATCTTTCTCCCAAGAAGTAGGTGGTGTGTTGGAACTGCTACCCTTTTGATGTGTACCTGAGAGCTTAACCACTGTACCACCTGGGTTCCTATGATCCAGTATGTTGTTAAGTGCCGCCGAGTTGGTTCCAACTCATAGTAACCCTGTATAGTGTTTCCGAAGCCATAAATCTTTGTGGGACTAGAAAGCCTCATCTTTCTCCCATGGAGTGACTGGTGGGCTTGCACTGCTGACTTCGTGGTTCACAGTCCAGTGTTCATTGTATGGAGCACTACACTCCCAATGATCCAGTCAGTCTTAAAACACTGAGAAACTTCAAATTCTATGACTATGCTTTTACTATATATAGTTACTATATATGTTATATATAATAATATGTGTGAGTCAAAACTATATATAATGAAAGCATAGTGGTTATAAATCAGGCTATGAACTACAAGGTCAGCAGTTCGAAACTACCAGCTGTTCCGCGGGAGAAAGATGAGGCATTCTGCTCCCGTAAAGATTTACAGCCTCGGAAACCCTGTGCAGGGTCACTATGAGCCGGAACCGAATCCACGGCACATAACCACTACCACCATAAATATATATGTAACACTGTCGTTGTTAAGTACCACTGAGTTGGTTCTGACTCATAGCGACCCTACATAGGGTTTCCGAGGGGCGGCTGGTGAGCTTGAACCGCCAACCTTGAAGTTCAAACTGACTTTGCAATCCAGCGCATTAACCCGCAGCGCCACATTAGTATTCCGTAACGTTGTTGTTAGGTGCCATCGAGTCGGTAGCCTTATCATAGCGACCCTATGCACAATAGAACAGAACACTGCCTGATCCTAGGCCAACCTCACAATTGTTGCCACGCTTGAGCCCATTGATGCTGCCATATTGCCAATCCATCTCGCTGGAGGTCTTCCTCTTTTTCTCTGACCCTCTACCTTACCAAACATGATTTCCTTCTCCAGTGACTGGTCCCTCCTGACATTTTGTCTGAAGTATGAGACATGAAGTTTGGCCATCCAGGCCTCCAAGGAGCACTCTGGCTGCACTTCTTCCAAAATAGATCTGTTTGTTCTTTTAGCAGCTCAAGGCACTTTCAATATTTTCCTCCAACACCATAACTCAAAAGCATCATTGTTGTTGTTGTTGTTGTTATGTGCCATGGAGTCAGTTCCGACTCACAGTGACCCTGTACAGGGTTTCCGAGGCTGTAAATCTTTACGGGAGCAGAAAGCCTCATCTTTCTCCCATGGAACAGCTGGTAGTTTCAAACTGCTGACTCTGAGGTTAGCAGCCTGATTCGTAACTACTATGCTACCAGAGCTCCTTCAAAAGCTTCATTAGTTGACACTAAATTCTACTGGTTTATCATAGATACACTATGTGTTGTTAGGTTTTGTAATATGAGTATCATTAGTATTAGTTTATTCTACTTACCAGAAAACTTGATCTCAGTAGAGTTGAACATAGTTTTCCTAAATATCAATGGTCCAGATTTCTAAAATGAAAAACAAAGAAATATGTTAAGAACTGTTTAAAAGTATGTATGTGAGTAAGTCACAAAGTAGTGCTACCAATAAGAAAATAGAAATGAAAGAAAAAAAAAAGTAGTGTTTCTAGAATTCCAGTTCATACATGCACAGACTTATTCTAAACAAAATGCATTCAAATGTTTCTCTGATCAGTGGTGGCTACAAGTACGTTCTCTCTAAAAGAGCTGTTTTTGTCTTGTTAGGATGCCTTCAAAACAAAGGATACCTTTGGGGTCATGGAAAAAAACAATTTTGAGACCAGAATTATTACTAAATCTTAAGCAAAACTCAAGTGGACATCTTTCTAAAGCACTGAAGCTTTGCAGCAAGTTTGCAGGAATGCTGCTCATATAAAACAACAGTTGTTAGATGGATCAAGAGTTTTAAAGAAGGTCGGGAAAACCTCCAAGATGAGCCAAGAAAGGGAAGACTATCAACATCAACAAAGGAAGAAACTGTTTGAAGCCCAAAAAGTACTGGGAGAGGACCGCAGAATTACCACTGATGCCACAGTTAGTGAAGGTGGGATCTCACACGGTTTGGCATTTTCAGTTTTAAGTAATATCTTGGCTTCTGCAAGCTTTTGGCTCAATGCGTGATAAAGCATTACATAAAGATTAGCTAGCTCAAATGTCTGAACTTTCCGTCAATCTTTGAAACAAGATTGTAACTAATAAAGATGATTTATGTAGCAAATTGTAAAGGGGTGAGTTTTGGATTTACCAATATGATCTTGAAATCAAGTTCCAACAAGAACAGTGGCTTCTGAGGAAATCTACTGGGCCAATTAAATTTAAGGCAGAGGTCAGTTCAGAAGGTTATGGTGATTGTATTTTGGAATTTCAAAGGGTAATTTTGATACATGTTCTCAAAGGACACAGGGCGAGCAAAGAGGGTTTATTATCAATTTTTAAGAAAACTGAAATTTGAATTGATGAGAAAAAGTGCAAGAAAGTTGTGTAAATTAATTTTTTTCCTTCACACCAACGCATCTGCTCATTCTTCAAGGATACCAAGGGCTGTCCTGCAAGAATTGCAATGAGAAACCTTATTCCATCCACCCTAGAGTCTGATCTTCTCCTTCACTTAATTTGTTTCCCTAAAGTCATTTCAAAGGAACACAATTTGAATGCTATTATTTGGTGCTATGGAGTAGGTTCTGACTTATAATGACACTATGAACAACAGAATGAACTACTACCTGGTCCTTTGCCATCCTCACAATTGTTGTCATCTTTGAGTCCACTGTTGCTGTCACTGTGTCAATCCATCTTGTTGGGTATCTCCCTCTTTCTTGCTGACCCTCCACTTTACCAAGCATGATGTTCTTCTCAGGGACTGGTCCCTTCTGACATCATGTCTAAAGTATGAGAGACAAAGCCTTGCCATCCTCGCTTCTAATGAACATTCTGGCTGCATTTCCTCCAAGACGATTTGTTTGTTCTTGGTACTTTCAATATTCTTCACTAACACAATAATTTAAATGCAAATTCTTCTATGGACTTCCTTATTCATTGTCCAAATACTGCGGCTTGGGTCAGGGTCACCTTACTCCTCAAATTGACATCTTTGCTCTTTAACACTGTAAACACTTTTGCAGTAGCTATGTCTAATGGTCAAAATGGATGTCAGAAGAGACACTGAAACTTGCTCTCCAGAGTAGAGATGCCAAAGCAAATGGAAGAAATGGGGAGGTAAAGGAGCTGAACAGAAAATTTCAAAGATCAGCTCGAGAAGATAACGCCAAATATTACAACAAAATGTACAAAGATCTGGAATCAGAAAACCAAAAAGGAAGAAAACGCTCAGCATTTCTCAAGCTGGGTGAACTGAAGAAGAAATTCAAGTCTTGACTTTCGTTACTGAAAGATTCACTGGGCAATTTACTGAATGATGCAGAAAGTATCAAGAGAAGACAGAAGGAATTACTGTACCAAAAGGAAATGGTTGATGTTCAACCATTTCAAGAGGTACCATATGATCAAGAGCCAATGATACTGAAGGAGGAAGTACAAGGTGCATTGAAGGAATTGGCAAAGAACAAGGCACCAGGAATTGATGGAATAAAAACTGAAATCTTTCAAGAAAGTGAGGTGGCACAGGAGGTACTCACTCATCTCTGCCAAAAAATGTGGAAGACAACTATCTGGCCAACTGATTGGAAGAGATCCATATTTGTGCCCATTCCAAAGAGAGGTGACCCAAATGAATGCGTAAATCATGGGACAATCTCTTTGATATCCCATGCAAGTAAAGTTTTACTAAAGGTAATACAAAAACGGCTGCAAGCATACATTGACAGAGAACTTTTAGAAGTTCAAGCCGGACTCAGAAGAGACCGTGGAATGAGGGATATCATTGCTGATGTCCAATGGATCTTGGCTGAAAGCAGAGAATATCAGAAAGATGTTTACCTGTGCTTTACTGACTATGCAAAGGCTTTCGATTGTGTAGATCATGACAAGCTATGGACAACATTGTGAAGTATGAGTATTCCGGAACACTTAATTGTGCTCATGAGGAATCTGTACTTGGACCAAGAGGCAGTTATTCTAACAGAACATGGGAACACTGAATGGTTTAAAAATTAAGAGGAGTGTGACAAGGTTGTATTCTTTCATCATACTTATTCAACCTGTATGCTGAGCAAATAATACGAGAAGCTGGGTTACATGAAGAAAAACGTGGCATCAGGATTGGAGGAAGACTCATTAACAACCTGCGATATGCAGATAACACAACCTTGCTTGCTGAAACTGAAGAGGGCTTAAAATATTTACTGAAGAGATCAAAGAGCACAGCCTTCAGTATGGATTACATCTCAATGTCAAGAAAACAAAATTCCTCACCACTGGACCAATAAACAACATTCTTATCAATGGAGAAAAGATTGAAGTTGTCAAGGATTTCATTCTTCTTGGATCAACTATCACCACTCACGGAAGCAGCAATCAAGGAATCAAATGATGTATTTATTGCATTCAGTAAATCTGCTGCACAAGACCTTTTTAAAGTGTTGAAGAGCAAAGATGTCAGCTTGAGGACTAAGGTAAGCCTGACCCAAGCTATGGTATCTTCAATAACTTCATATGCATGTGAAAGCTGGACAGTGAATAAGGAAGACTGTAGAAGAATTGATGCTTTTGAGTTAGGGTGTTGGAGGAGAATATTGAAAGTGCCATGGGCTGCCAAAAGAACCAATAGATCTGTTTTGGGAGAAGTGCAGCCAGAGTGCTCCTTGGAGGCCAAGATGGCCAAACTTTGTCTCTCATACTTTGGACATACTGTCAGGAGGGACCAGTCACTGGAGAAGGATATCATGCTTGGTAAGGTGGAGGGTCAGAGAAAAAGAGAAAGACCCCCAATGAGATGGACTGGCCAAGCAGCAGCATTGATGGGCTCAAGTGTAGCAACAGTAGCGAGGTTGGCCCAGGATTGGGCAGTGTTTCATTCTGCTGTGCATAGAGTCACTATGAGTCGGTACCAATTTGATGGCACCTAACAACAACAATAACAATATGTCTAATGCAGTATGTCATTTGATCTCTTGACTGTTGCTTCCATGAGACTTGATAAAGGATCCAAGCAAAATGAATTTTTTGACAACTTCAATCTTTTCTCTATTTGTTGTTGTTAAGTGCTGTTGAGTCTGTTCCAACACACAGTGATCCTGTATAAGGTTTCCAAGTAACAGCTGGTGGGTTTAACCTCCAACCTTGTGGTTAGCAGTCCAATGCTTTTCCTATAGCATTACACCAGGATGCCTTTATTCACTTATCATGATGTTATTTAGTGGTCTTGTTGTGAGGATTTTTGTGCAATGCATACTGAAGACTGCGGCTTACTCCAATTCCGATTCCAGGTTCTTCTTCATATAATCCAGCTCCTCGGAATATTTACTCAGCATAAGACTGAATATGTATGGTTAAAGTATGCAACTCTGACACACACTTTTCCTGATTTTAAACCATTCAGTATCCCTTATTCTGTCCCAAATGACTGCCTCTTGGCTCCTCATCAGCACAATGAAGTGTTCTGGAATACCCATTCTTCAAAATGTTTATCCACACAGTTGAATGCCTTTTCAAAGTCAAACACAAGTAAACATCTTTCCGATATTTTCTGCTTTTAGCCAAGATACATCTGATGTCAGCAATGTTCCATGCCCTCTTCTGATTTCGACTTGAATTTCTTGTAGCTCCCTGCCAATGTACTGCTGCAACTGATTTTGAATTATCTTCAGAAAAATAATACTTGCACGTGATACAAATGATATTGTTAGACGATTTCGCATTCTGCTGGGTCACCTCTCTATGGACACAAATATGGATCTCTTCCAATAGCTCAGCCAAGAAGCTGTCTTTCAAATATCTTGGCATAGAACAATGAGCTTCTCTAATGCTGCATCAATTTGTTTGAAAATTTCAATTTGTATTCTTTCAATTCCTGGTGCCTAGTGTTTTGCCAATGTCTTCTGCGTTTGGACTTCTTTTAGTACCATCAGGTCTCGATCATACTACCTTTTGAAATGGTTGAACATGGATCAATTGTTTTGATAGTGACTTTGCACATTCTTTGGAAGATTCCTGCATCATTCAATATTTTGCCAATAGAATCCTTAAATATTGCAACCTGAGGCTTGAATTTTGTCTTCAGTTCTCTCAGTTAGAAAAATGCTGGACGTGTTCTTTCCTTTTGGTTTTCTAACTCCAGGTCTTCGCATATTTCATTGTAATACTTGACTTAATCTTCTGGAGCTGCCCCTTGTTATTTTCTGTTAAGCTCTTTGACTTCATCATTTCTTCCAGTCACTTTAACTTCTCTAAGTTCAAGAGCAATTTTTGGAGTCTCTTCTGACATCTGTTTTGGTCTTTCATCATTCTTTATGAATGATGTTATTGATGCCATCCCACAACTCTCTGATCTTCCACTATTAGTGTCTATTGCATCAAATCTGTTCTGGAGA